AGCACACCTTTGAAGTCCGTATGATTGGGAAGTCAACACGTCTACATTATTTGTACTAAAATCGTGCTTATTTATTTACCAATGTTAGTGCCAATATATTCTGTGTCCCTAATCTTTTTGTTAATGACATTTTTTTAACATAGAAGTAATAAAACATTTTTTTTAAATCACTAAATCTACAGCTGTAAATTCATGGCTACTTCTCAATAAATGAAAAATTTCTTGTTTTTTTTTCTTTCTGTAATTTAATTTAACCATAAAACTTACACATGTATTGGTAAACAGAGTGATATGTTATTTTGTGCTAGTTATAATTTTAAACAGATGACAACCAAAAGTTTGGATTCTTCATGGAGGAAACAGTCATGGGAAAGAAAGTCTGCTGTCCGTCCAGTAAGGCACTCTCTCTCAGATTTTATTGTCTGAAAGTTTGTATTTGTATTGGAGAGAAATGCCACTTGTCAACTGTGGACGGCCAACAGTAGACGCACACTGATTATATTTTCTTTCTTGCCAAAAAAAGTGTCCTGTGAGTAAAAACCCCAGAAATGATGGCTTGAAGTGAAAGAAAGCAGAACCCTTTAAATATTGTCCACATTTAGCTGTCCAGTGTGGCTGTTAAAAACTGCAGGTTTTTATCACAATTGCACTGCAAGGGCAGAGTAGTTTATGGGCAGTTTCCTTTCTTTTGAAGCTGTCAGTACTTTAGTTTCTTTGCTGCTGCAGCTGAAGTTCTGTCTTCTCTCCAAGGTGTTAAACCAGATATATTTTTTAACGCAGCAGGTGAAGTCCAACCCAGCATGAAAAAAGGTTGTACGGATACTTTCTGACCTGCTGAAATTTTAACATTTTATTTTAAACTCTAATCGACCTACTCTAAACTTTTAGTTTGGAGAAGACGTCAAAGCAATTTACCCAAGGCTTGAAGGTTCTGTTTTTATAATGTTTAAATGTGCAGTCCCTTCCTGCGAATATGCATTTCAGCAGCACCGCTGCAACCGATTGATTTCACTCTGGTTCTTCCTGCAACACTTTTTATTTGTTGGACCACATCCCTCCTCTGCAGAGCTCACAGCTGCTACACATTTCCTTTTTACATCCTCAGACAAACCATAATCTACCCTGGTGCAGATAATGAAATTGAAAAAGGTGGAGTCTGCAATTGCTTTAAAGAGAAAAACAGACCATCCATCATTTCTTTTGTCTTTCAATAGAGACCTCAGTTGATTTTGGATCATTGTAGAGATACCCGGCTGGTTTCTGGCGCAGCTTAAGCTCTGCAGCTCGAGCTTTAGAAGAACTTCTACTTTGAAATAAAAGCACGATTCTTATCTTCACTTTTTAGAGATTTCAATCAGTGGTGCTTTTTTTTTTTCTTCCACTGGTGTTCGCTAACAACTTTTCTAAGTCTTTGTGAATGCTCTCTTACTAACCTTTTTTCATTACTTCAAGGCACTTCTCACAGTCTGCCAACTCTTATCTGGAAACGATAACATTTCTTTTGAATTTGTCCGTGTATAATTTATTACCTGTCTCTCTTTTCTTTCTTTTTTCTTTTTTTTTTTGGTTCATTAAAGTAATTCAGCAGTTCTGAACACAACAGCATTGTGAGAAGTTGCAAGCAGCTCTTCAAGATGCACGAGTCCTGAACTGGAGAATATTTGCATCTCATATCATCAGTCATTGCGAGCAGTTTGCTGAAACCCTTGCTGGGTTTCCCAGGGTCTCAAAAGTACATCTCATTGCATAGGAGCCGATTAATAATGAGGTGGAAGGTCTCTCCAGAATTTTAGCCAAAGCACTTAGCATGGCCCTTTGGAAACAAAAACAATGCACTTGTACAAAACATTCTCAAAAACTTTGGAAAGCTCCTTGTTTCCACCCTCTTGCATTTGCATCAGAGATCTCAAATTAAATAAAAAAATAAATAAATAGCAGCTCTGACATTTGAATCTTAGGAGCAGCTGAAGTGCTCTTGTGGCAGCGCAACCCCCAAATACACACCCTGACCTTCCCACCAGCCCCTCGCTCCTCATGTGGCCTCAAATCATTAATCACCAGGATCTTTTCAGCTGTCAATATATACAAGGACAGACCACCAAAGACAACAATGATGTCTCAAATGAAACCCTTCTCTGTTGTTTTTCAGAACGGGGGCAAATACAGTTCACTGAGGATTACTGTTTACTGCTCTGTCCGGCACAAACCTCATACTGTATTCAGAAAGAGCTTATCTAGTGGAGAAATCCTTGTCTGAACAGCACAGCATATTGTGAGTAAAAAGTCTCAGATCTGACTGGATTAGTTTTGATCTCTTGTTGAAAACAGTTATGTGTCCTTCTAGAATGAGTTGTAATTAATTTTTGCTTAAAGGGGCTGAGTAATGTCGAAGCAGAAGTAGAAACTAAAATATTTATGGGAATTTAGCCATGAAGCTGCGTTTGAAAAAATGATGAACAGACTATTAAACTTCAGTGATAATCTTTTACGTTATTACAGCAGTTAATACAGCTGGATTCTCTTTTGTAAACAGACACAATTTCTAGAATAGGATTTTATTTTTATGGAGGGACAGGTGCATCGATTGCCGTTTTCTGGCCAATCACAGGTTCTTTAAAAAGACAGACCTGCCAATAAAATTTTTGGCTGACACTAATTTTTGTTCTTTCTTTTTAAGTCGCTGAATATTGTTGCAAAGTTGCTAAGTGTCCAACAGTGGGGTGACTATTGTTAAGTGAGAGCAGATGTGACCTGGTGGGCGGGTCTGTCAGGCAGCGCTCTGACAGCCGAGCAGAAGGGGACTGTGGCTGATTTTCAGACCTTTGCAAAGATGGATAAGAAAAGTGGAAAAGATCACTTTTCAACTGAGCATCAACTGATGCTCATTTTAAGATCCAGTTGATCACAGAATTCCTAAAATTAAATGAGATGTATTATGTATGACTTAGCAATTTAAAATAAACGTTTTTACCTTTTTTTTTTAAATGTTATTCCATCATTAAAAACATACCCGGACTGTAGCTTTTAGCATTGCATTCATTTTTGAGGAATCCTTTAATCTCTGGCAGCCATTAAGAGGTGCCTAAGCAGTTGTTCTCACCAAGCGTCTCCAGCCAAACTTCTGCCTTACATAACGTCTGCCTCCCCATGTGCCTTCTGCAGACTAGCAGCAGCAGCAATTAGCAAACCCCTTGTGGAACTGCACATTTGCTGAGCTTATAATGCAAATTATATCTCAGCCCAACTCTCCAAAGAACGGTTGTAAACGGTATGGAGGAGCATTGTTGTGATGTCGTAGTGATGTGATGTGAAGGCAAAGTATCAGAGAGAGAAGGAGATTCTTGAAGAGAGAGAGGATAAATTTCAAGGAAGTCAAATTTATTTTAAGTTATGTTTGATGTGTACAATATTTTTTAATAGCTGAAGGTAACATAGTTTTTTGATTGTAATATAAAATGGCACTATTTTTCTGGAAAATACATAATACATACTCTTTAAGGATTTATCTGTACCTGATTTATCAATGTCCAAATTTGGACTGCATTTTTTAGATTTTTAACCCTTTTTTTATTAAAATATAGGGTTGTGACAAAAGCTTTGCAGTTGACTATACTTAAGCTTTAAATAAACGGCCTCCAAACGTTTAATGCAGTTTACTCGCATATTGACATTTGTTAATCCAACTTAATGTCCTAAAACACTTGGTAACTTTAAATGAGACACATGCACGGCCCTCATCACTGAACTACTGTAAAATTACACATCGATTCATCCTATGTTTCACTGACACTGCAATTTTTATTTTTTTTTCAATATTCACTTCAGTATTTTGTCCTTGAAGGCAAGTGGGGGGGAAAATGGTGCATGGCTGAATACTAAAATTTCCTCTCTCTCCTATTGATCTTATCCTGGGTGTGCTGTTTGGCAGTTGAGGCTTTACGATGCAGATTTTAATCACCTCTGCTGGCTCACAGTGGCCCCTGGATGTGTTTGGCACGGCAGCTCTCAGGCTCGGGATGATTTGTCGCCTGTAAACAACACAATTCAAGGCAGGACACCTGCCACTTTTTCCACACGCCGGACACCCAGCATTTTCTGTGCAAATTATGAACTGCAATATTTGTGGGAGACTCGTATCACGAAGTTTATAGTTGCATGATTTGTTGTGTCATATTTTATTAGTTGAAAGGTGGGTGCAGTGGACTGCGTCATGCAAAAACCTCCAGCTGTGAACAGTTAAACACAAACTGTTTAAGACAGTTTGTGAAGTTTGTGAAGTGACTCATCCAAGTGCTGCTCTAACCTTTGGTTGTGTTGAAGTAACCGGGTTTTCCTTTTATTTCCTGTGAACTTGATTTTGGATGTTTGTTTCTGAGACATGAACAGATGATATTTCTTTAACAATACAGCAGCGGCGATGTCACACAGCGGTGCAATATTTAAATTGCAAATAATAGCGATTGCCTTTTGTTTGGTTTTACCACATACCCATACATACACGATGCATCAACTATGTAAAAATCGAGTAAAATCCAACATGCCTGTTCAGACTGCAGACACATCGAAAACCATCAGATATGTATCGGCATCATTTGTGGAAGTGGCACAAACTGAATTATTGGGTGATGAAAAGATCAGAATTGGGCCATTGAGATTCTGAACGGGCTAAAAAAGTCTCATATGGGCAAAAAGTATCATTTGTGTCACATTTACCAATGTGAATGTAGCGTGTTTTCCACATGAGGCCAAAAAGTAGCATTTTGGGTTTTATTGTCCTCCTGCATATTTGTCTCCCCTTCACTCCTATAGCCAAACTTCAATGAGGCTTTTTATGAATTTCTTCCAACAATAACATCCAGATTTGTAAAATGTACAACAAGTAGTTGTTTTCCTTTCCTGGTCTATCAGTAGGTGGACAAACAGACATTTCACTACCTTCTTGAGTCTTCCATACATTGAATATACATATATTTATAAAACTTGTATTTTTTTTTCTACAGAATCATTCAAACTGAACCGGAGTTACAACCAACATTTTCATCTGAAAGTAGAGAGGAGGCAGCCATGGAGGTGAAGGAACGCAGACCCTATCGCTCGCTCACGACCCGGCAGGACACCGAGCGCCGTTACACCAGCTCCTCCGCAGACAGCGAAGATGGTAAACCCAACTCTAAATCCTACAGCTCCAGCGAAACACTCAAAGCCTTTGACCACGACTCGAGGATGGTGTACGGCAGCCGTGTGAAGGAAATGGTTCACCACGAAGTGGATGAATTCAGCCGGCAAGGTTAGAACAAAATCAAAAATCCACTAGTCTGTAACAAGCTATTCAATTATTTTGTACTCAATTTTATTAACAATAAACAGAGGGGAAACAAGCCAATAATTGCAAAATTGTAAGATGTTTTAAAACTCAAAGGAAAACAGGTACACATAATGTTTAAACCTAAGTGTATCTAATTTTTCTTCTTTTTGAAGTTAGTTGGTGAGGCTTTAAGGTGCAGTCTGGAAATTAGTGCATTTTTAAATCGTCTACAAAGCTTCTTTAGCATTGTTTAGCTAAAGGTGTTTCTTTGACTTTTGCTCCCTCATGTTAGTTTTAAAGTCACCTTGGTTGTAACTAGAATTATTGTGTCAGTGAGATTTAAAAATGATCTTTCTAAATCCATGAGTGGGAGATGACTGCATATATGAAATGGAGTTTGTAAAGTTACGCAATAAAAGAAAATGCTTTATTTTTGTCATAGCTCCAAACTAAATTTTTATCTTCCAAACTAAATAATTAACTTGGACTTAAATATTTAAACAAATTTCAAACTAAATATTTCATTTGGAGCTACATATTTAGGTGGTCAAATAAATATGTAGTTATGAAGTAAATATTTTTAATCTAACAAAAAAACAATAAACTAGGGAATATTTGACTTTGAAATTTTTATTTTTTTCTTTCTGACTTGCAAAACCACCTCTAGTGTGTAAAACCACCAACCCATATCCATAAGGGGCAGCACTTAACATAATTAAAAGATCTAATAAGGCATTTAAAAGCTAAATATATACTGTATACTTAATTCCTTCAACACTGAATGAAATTGCTCTATATTAGGTTTCTTACCTTCCAGTTGAGATAAATTTGCTGATTTTGCTTTGAGGTTCAAATGCTCATTTCCAGAGCGCCGTTTATCATCTCACTGTAGGGACGGACTTTTCCCTGCGAGACCTCGGCTTTGGAGATGGCCTTCCATCGCATGTAGCTACGTACAGGAGCGACATGGGGCTGCCTCACCGTGACTACTCAGTCAGCGTGGGCTCTGACGCAGACACAGAGACTGACGGCGTCATGTCCCCGGAACACGCGGTCAGGCTTTGGGGCCGCAGCAACACCAAGTCGGGCCGCAGCTCGTGTCTCTCCAGCAGAGCCAACTCCAACCTAACACTCACTGATACTGAACACGAGAACACAGAAAACGGTAGGAACTTGACTTTTTTTTCCCCTCCTCAATTTCGTCAAAACACCTGCCATTCCTGGACCACAGTGTTATCACATTGGTTCAACTGAATATGAGCTTCAACTGCTCACTTTTTACCTTTCAAATATTTTGCTAAGAAAGCTTAGCTGCTTTCAATACCCATTTAAATAGATAATCAGGCAGCTAAATTGTTTTCTGACCTCTTGCACGTTTTGTCTGGTAGATAAACAGCATTTCAATAAAACGTTATCAAATGATAACGTTTTGAAGCGAGAAGCAGAGAGAAAAAGAAAAAAAAGCACTTTTTTATCATACATAAATCTATGTGAGTCATACTTTGGAGTATATTGTTGCATAACTTTCCCAGCAGAGACATAATGTTCAGAAATAATGCTGCAAAAACCACCTGACAGAAAAGAATTGATCCAATGTCAATGAATCGATTATCAGTCTTGTGCATGAGACAGAAAGTGAGTGCAGGGCTATATCTTATCAATCCTGGATGATTGTGATGTTTGTCTGCACATTATTATGTTTCAGTCAATATTCCGTTGTTGACTTTGGCAGGAAAACTGCCTGGCAGGTTACAGTTTGTGACTTTAAGGAGGATTTGGGAAGTTTTTTTTGTGCCTTGGTATGAGAGGTAAGAATGGTTTTCAGTGGTGGGCAATGTTCCCTCTAATTTTTCATGTGTCTGGGCATACACACAAGCTTCCTGGGCACACTGAGGACCACTGTGAGCATCATCAGTGTACACGGTGTGGCCACGCACAAGTATCATAAATCTGGGATCATAGAAAGTTGCATGGCTTATTAAAAAAATCAAATTACATCAGCAATTTTCATTCGTTTGCTTTTAATTTAAGTAATTTGCTCAATTAAAATAAAAAAAAAGAAAAGAATACATTGCTGTTCATGAGATGCATGCTATAAGTAAGAGTCCTGCTTCAGCCAGGGTGAGAAATGAGACATTACACCTTTCAGACATAAATGTTTGTTCATATTAAAACATTCACATTTTGCACAATGAAATGTTTTCTGTAGCTTGTGATGCAGTATAAATTCTTGTAAAATATTTAATTACAGTTTTTTTCACGTCTGCCCTTCTCACGTCTTCTCACTTCTCCAGTGGTTGTACACTTAGCCCAGGTTGATGGTCAGTCTGCTTCTTGCTTTATGTTCTTGAATTCAGCATATTGACTGTTAATGGCCTCCATAATCTGTGGGTGGAGGAGAATGGCCTCATACTTCTTTGCCAGTGTACAAGTCAAAAATCTGAACTCAACATTTCAATATCAAATGCAGAACATTGCTTTCATTTGATTTGATTCCATTTGATCTTAGAAGAAGTGCATTTCTGTTTTTTTACTTTGACTTGGTGAGTGGATGTCTCACGTAGACATGATAAGGTGATGGCTTTCACGTTTCCTAACTCTACCGCACTATTCTCACCTGCACGGCGCATATGACCAAGGCACGTAACCCACGTACACACAGCCAATCAGCATGTGCTGATTGGCTGCGTAGCGAAAGTGAACCGTATCGTATCATTGGCTGGAAAGTGAACCGTATCGTATCATTGGCTGGATTCCTGTCACTCACTGAGTTCGATCACAAAGTAGTACAGAAAAAAAAATTTATTGGTCCATAGTCAAAACTGATGTCTGAGCTCAACATCCACTTTACGTTGGACTTTATTTTATGCGCTACATAGATTTTCTTGTGCGCTGCGAATATCTGAGCAGTGCGCGATTGCGCAGGCGCGCAGCTTAGAGGGAACATTGGTGGTGGGCACCAGTTACAGCACCATTCATAAGCATTAGTTCCACTAATGCTGAAGCAATGTACTAACATGATGTTTAGCAGAAGCTAAAGCATTAAATTCAACTATTTTGATATACACCAAGCATCAGTGACGTCTTATATCGTCCTCAACAAGGTCAAATGTATTATTGCACATCTATATGCTCTGTTGTACTTCAGGAGCTTCAGAAAGTAATTCTTTAAAATAAACCTTTGAATTTTACATTTGTTGAGGATTGCTAACTCTGTTGCTGCCTGATTGACCACGACGGGGGTGCGGTCAGAAAGCGAGCAGAACATCAATAGATTTTAAACTGTTCTAAAACGATAAGTCCTGGGAAGAGAAAAAAAAAAAAACAAACTGCGCCCAATCATGAGTAGAGAACATAAGGAGAGGACGCAAAACTGCTACTTATACAATCTTCAGCCACTTCAAGATGAAAGCACAAATCTAAATGTATATCTACTTGCAGAATGCTTAACATCATGACAAAAACAATAGACGTTGAACTTTATTCTAATGAAAGTGTGCAAAACAGCCGAGTAAATTAGTGCTCTAGAATTTATCCCAAAAAATGTTTAAATGTTTTCAAAGTGAGATATGGAGCTAATAAAAAGTTAGCTCTGCTGTTAGCATATTAGTGGATTAGTTCAAGTGTGCCCACCACTGTCTTTCAACCAAAGGATCAACAATATTTCTGTATTGTTGTTCAGTTTTCTATAGTTTCAACAAGTATTATTTTATTGTTTCTTATTTATTCATGTAAATAAGATGATCTTTGTGTATATTCAGTAAAGTTTGTAGGCTGTACACTTTGCTTATAACATTATGTTGTCATCCTAGTGCAACATTTTCCACATTTACTTACTTCTGTCTCAATTCAACTGGGTTATCTAATTTTTCTGGTGTACTAGATCTGTTTCATAAGATGCAGCGTTAAGCATTAACCTAAATCATGCATATTATATGGCAGATTTATGAAATTGTTCCCGGGGTACTTCACAGACAGAGGAGCTCATCAAGGCTCTGGCGGCAAAAATTGTAATTGCCCTGCATATCCTTGCAGAAAACTCTGAATCGTTTGCATTTCAGCGTGCGTCATGTTATGTATTAGCTTCTTATTATAACTGACAGAAATGACTCTTGGAAGTGGAATCCATTTGGTCAGATGACTCCGGCAGAGAGCACGGCATCCCTCTGCTTGATCATCCGGGGTGCCAGGGGACTTGAGCTTGGCTGTATTGTACATAATTAAAGAGACTCTCCTTGGATGGCTGTTCAGGGGGTCGGTAGGCTGGAATGTTTTCAGGGCCCCGTAGCTGCAGTATCATGCGTGTGTAAGACCCAATCAAGATTCTAAGTAGCCTTTTATTCCACTCACCCAAGCAGAAAGAGCACTTGTATTCAGCATTTAATTCAGTAATGCCAGATAACATACAATTTATATATGGCAAGTTAATTAAAATCCATCGAGCAGGCCTTCCTGTGTGTGCTTTAATCTCTTTAAATCAACAAACCATTTAGTGTGCTTTAATGTATTCAAGCCGCTGGGCTGTTCCCCCGTCTTTACATGTGACTTTCTTGACCCTGGTTTAATGCATGCAAATAAGCAATAGCAATTTCAGAACAATTTTCTTGATGCTTTGATTCCAGGCCGTCAGTTCTGTTTTGTGAACAAAATGCCTTCCTTGTTATGATGGTTTTCACGATGATTACTCTGCAGTTGGTGTGTGATAACGATGAACACCGTTATCCTCATTGGGACACACTGAATGTGTAGCGCAAACATTAGTTAAGCAAATGCATGAAGTAAGTTAGACTGTTGGCATTTCCCTGATAAGTTGAAAATGAATGCATTATTTTCCTAACAACTGGCAGGTGAATTGCAAAAAATAAATAAATAAATAAAAACAATATGATGTTCCCTAAACATTTACATATTTCCATTTTATATTTTGATTTCTTAGCTGCTTTTCCTAGCAAAGAATAAACCATGTTGGAAAACTACCTATAAACTAAAAGCATCTCTTGGTGTTAGTCATGTCCAAAAACACTCAAACGCCTCAACCTTTTGGTTCTGAACTCGTACATTGTCAGCTCCTGCTAACGGTGTTAGCTCTAGCTAATACAGCAAAACAATAGATCACAATCCGATCACTCATTTGTTTCAACAGATATCCTGTTTATAACATCACATAAAAACTTTAAGGCATTTTGCTTTATTCCAGATGTCTTGTGGGGCAGACATGAAGGTCGTCTGCCTCTATAACTTTATCTTGTTTATTGTTTAGACTCAAATCCACTTAAAATGCATCAGTCTGGCATGAATTGCACAAGTGAAAAAATGGCAACTTCTGTAGGCAAAAGATATACATGTTTTGAGTTTTTATGTATCACAAATAACTTTTAGGTTAAAAAGAAAATGTACATCATATTCAGACCAACATCTTCAATTTATCATGATCCTCTTTAAAGTTGCAGAATCAAGCTGAGGCTAAAAAAAAGTCAACAAATCTTTTACAATTAAAGATTCTTTGGTAGCCTTAAATCTCATTTAGTAAAATCAACTTTGGTTCACTAAATTTAAAACCCCATGGTGATTCTTATGCACACTCTCTCTTCCCCAAACTACAATGCTTATGTTGGACACCTAAGTGAATGTTAATATAATGTGCATTTTCCGTATTATGAGTTAGAAAGCCTTAAAATTGCATCCATTGAGCTTGTACAGCGATGTACATGTTCATCCTCCCCATGCTGCTCCTCTTCCCTAGGGAGTCCCTCAAAGACACTTAAGGCAGCCTGCCACTGCTGACTCACTCTACGTTTCACTGAGGCTCAGCGGCACGAAGAAAAGGCAGTCTGCTGCGTTTAGAGGTTTTGCTTTTCTTGGTTTATTCCCAGTAACAGCCTATCCAGATGTGCGTTCTAATCCCAACTTTCCCCCCGACCATTGTGACTTGGCTATTATATTTCTTTGACTACGAGAACCAGAACAGACGATAACCACAAGACCCATTCAGGGAGTGTTATTCATGTGTTCCATAACCTGTGGAGAGAAAATAATGCCGCTAAAGCCTACACAGTTCTTTCTCAGAGAAAAAACATTGGTGGGACTGGCGCTGGTGTTTTTCTATGGCAAAAATGTAATTAGTTCCAGTGGGTGGTTAGTTGTGTATTTATTTTTGCTTTCTCT